GATAGGATTCCACTCAAAACAGAAGTGTTGCAGTTGCTTGGAAAAAAATGAGTGGACTTTCATTCCAGCTCTACTCTTAACTGGAGGTGCGTTTCAACAAAAGCTGTTTGCGTAATTTTAGTGACCAATTGGGTGGCCATGCTTCCACTCAAAATTGTTGGACCGTTCCACTGCACTTTTTGTGAGGAACAGAGTTGTGGCTGATTGATGTTTGATTCAATGGTTTTTGTGCTGATAGCAACGCTGTCAATCTGCTGTTGTCAAGTGCCATGGCCTCCGGCCCTGCGAAACGGAGGAGGACTTCCAAGAGTAGCGAGCCACCAGCTCTGACTGTGCCAGTCGGCGCACTTCTTCAGGAACAGGTAAAATGTTTCGACCAGTGGCTGATCCTTGGGCCTGATGAGCTGCATTCTTGTTGCTGCACACTTCAGAAATTTTCCCATGTTTTTTTCTGGGCTGTTGTGCCACGGTCCTCTGAGGAGTGGTGTATTGACAAAACACAAGAGCTTCGATGAATATGTGAACACGGTGCTGGATTCCAAGGTGTTGTTTTTCTTGAAAGCAGTTATCTATTTCCTGAGTGAACGATCAAGCACACTTAACTTTCATTTTGCGCAGAACTCTCTATGTAACGAGTGTTTGTTGGGCCTGTCAGGAGTCGGTGATTCGCTTTTGGCAATGGGTCGAGGAGACATTCCCTCCAGATCCAACAGTGTGTGGCCCTAAGATGTCAGCCGCCCCCCAAAATGCAGCCTTTACAGTCAGTGTTATTGGCCACTGGATTGATTGCGATGATGATTTCTATAGATCTCCACGCGCAGTTTGTGAGGACGTATGCCTCAAAGGGAGATCTACAGCACTATGGAGGTCTTCAACTTCGCCCCTACCACTTGAACTTTCACAAGGACCTGGGCTTGCGAGGGTACTTGGAGCCAGATCCTGCCTGAGTGACCACCAACTTACTCAGTGCGACTTCAATTTTTGGCACAGTATATTATAGTTTCTTCTTTACGACTAAGGAAGTTCTGCAGATGCTATGTCAGATGATTCTGGCAAACACGTACCTTGCCAGGTGTTCCAAGCTTTGTCAGGACTATGTTGCTACTAATAGCACTCTCCTGTGTCTATTCCTGTTTGCTGTTGAGGTTTTGCACTTCGCCAGACATTCCTGGCACAGAAAAGATTTGTGTTTCAGCGATCAGTTCCGAGTTCCTGGAGTTCCACACAGCTATCTCAGTTGCTGATATCTCTGACCATATCCCGAAAACGTTCTTGGAACCGATGTCAACCTTCATGGTCAAAGGATGGTCGAGGTTCAATGCTGCTCTGGCGTGCCTCCTGCATGCGTATTCTGACCCAGACAACGTTCTCAAGGCTTGTGTGTTGAATGCTCTTGATGTTGGGACTAATGTTTGCCATCTGAACCTGTTTGTCAAGTGATGCTTTTTGTTTCCCTGGAGGGATGGCCCAAAGAGTTGATATCGATCCTCGCCCAAACTGCTTTGAATTCAAGTTGGCAGTCCTGAGCCAAAGCAACTCCTTGCTCAGTGCCTTGTACCCAGGAGCTTTTCAACCATATATTGCACCTGTGTGGTCGTTGCTGATGTTGGAGAGCTGGTCAACCAGAACCGAGGCACACATTTGGGCTTGGGGGGGGGGGTTACTATGATTTGAGCGTTTCACATTTGAAACTTTCAAGCTCAATTTCAAACAATGATCAAATTTTAGCGACATGCAACTCTTGGTTGTGGAGGCATCACTCTCGCCTCAGCCTCAACCAGGAGGCGTCCCAACGCGTTCAACCTACTCCATCAACTTCGATTCGAACAGCGGCTGAACAAAGTGACAGCAGGTAGTCTCAAGGCCAGCAAGCCGTGCGTTGTTGAGCCTACTGTCTACATTGCCTGAATTTGTCCCGCGCGCGTGCGTGTTTGATTTGGCAGGCCTGGGAGAGCAGCAAAAGCTTTGCCGAGGCTTACCGCCTTGGCAAAACAGAGAGCGATGCTGCTGTAAACCTTCTTCAGAACATTTGTCCGTCTGCGGTGGACAAACTATGAGACTGTATCAGGAGATGTTTGTAAAGTATGCGTGCTTGTAGACCAGACCTCCAATATAATAGTTCCACTGCAGGACTTATGGAATGGGCCGATTCATGAGCCACGAGGGTTTGGCCGCTGGCCTATTTAATTCTGATCACAATGGAGCAACTGCGGCGCAGGGTGTTTGGACTGACGTTCTGGGCAACACAGAACCCGTCGTGAACCTACTGTGTGACCGCCTTCGGTCAGACTTTGCAGCTCTGGCTCCCAAGATGAGGAAGCATTACCAAGCAGCTCAAATCGAAGCATGTCCTTACATAGGCTAAAGGCTTTGTAGTGGACATGTTCTGGCGCAAAGTGTAGCCCGCGTTCTGCAATTGTTGTGCGTCTCTGTATCCTGAGGAGACTCTGCAAAGGTGTTGCGCCATTTTCTTGCATGCGAAGAGCAATTCCAGGGCAAGGTGCCTGCAGATTTCTTTACGCAGGAGATGGACGCAATCAGGAAATCGTTGCTTGTTTTAAGACACATCGCTTGTTGCTGCTGTCGCTTTACGTTGGTTTTTTAGAGGGTGAAACTGACAGAGTCTTTCAACGGGTTGCTGCCAAATCAGGTTCATGCTGCGTCACCTCGATGCAGAGTTGCTGTTGCTGATTCAAAACACAGTCCCACCTTGTGACTTGAATTCTGTGTCCGCGTTCCGCCAAAGTTTGCAGCTTCATACCAAAAAGGCGGGGTGTTGTTGTGCAGAAAGGTTGACGTCTGTTTTTTTGCACGCGTCATCGGGTGATGGTGGTGACTGTTCCTGGTTTTGTTTGCAGAAGGTGGCTGATGAGCGGGCTCAGGCAGATGAAAAGTGTGGGCCTTGGGACCTTGGGTGTCTTGTCAACTAGTAATCTGAATCTGTTAGATTCAATGCTTGCGAGGCTAGCGGAAGAAGTGGCGGCCTTGTCGTTGACACACCTGTCTACAAAAATGGACACGGACTTGGCAAAGCTCAAGAAGTACTTTGAGGAGAAGCAGGACCACCACAACAGACAGGTGCACTGTGGTTTGAAACGGATGTTGATGCTAGCGCAAAGTTGCAGTGCTATCAACATTATGCTGACTCGCGCTCGACCACTCTGGCCGAGGGCAATTTAGATATCAAATATCTCAGTGACCGCTACAACCGCGGAGTTGCCAAAGTTCAGAGCTACATGGACACGCACCAGCAGTACATCGAGGTTGCTGACATGCAGGATGGATTGCCCATCTTCATTCAGCAGGCTCAGAAGAGTGGCAGTGGAACGCTTCTTGATTGCTGATCCTTCTTGATTGCTTGTCATGGGTTTCTTGTCATGGCAGACCTGTTTTAAAGGGTCACAGCCATGGGACTTTTGGACTTAAGGTTGGGGATTATCGTGATTGACGCTACGCTCTGGCCGAGTCGTGCCTCAACCGCTTGATGAATGCTCATTGCTTGAGTAGATGTCACATGTTTCGTGAGTTGTTTGGCTTCGCCAACCATCCAGGCCAGCTGCTTGTAGACGAAGCTGTGAGTCTGGCAAAGACGATTTGCACCTCTTCAGCAAATGTTTTGTGCTTCGTGCTACTTCCAGTGATCTATTCTGGGATGGAGCAGACCACTGTCATGAAGCACAAGCGCTACATGGAAGATTTGATGGTTGCGCTTTGGGCTCAGCGTAGTTTTCTATCAGAATCATTGTGTGTTTGAAATGAATACCTGGCATGGCATTACGGGTCAGTCAGTGAAACTCGGCCTAGGTCCTTCGAGATTTGGGAAGGGGCAATCAATTACAACGACGCAGGGCACCAAGGAGACCGCCGGCGTAAGGTGCAACCATGCATCTGGGATTTCAAATCAACGCTAAGATCTTACTGGTTGCTTCCAAAGCCCATGTTTGTCCAATTTAGATTATTTTTTCACGGGTCAATGACTTTTGCATTGGGGCTTGGGTGGAGTCTTCATTTCTATTGCCAACATTCCCTGAGAGTCAGAGTCAAGATGTACCCCCAGCGACTAGCAATCAGGGCGAGCTGAGCTTCCACTTTTTGCTTTAATATTTTTAGTTTATCGTCTCACTTGTTACAGCTTAGGCATCATCGGCATGCCCAAGATCCACCAGGGCAATTGGGCCTTCAATGGATCGCGCGCCCTCCTTGGATCGATTGGGCCTGTGTCCCGCTCACGAGTTTGTGACCTGCAGAACTTCAGCAGTGACCAGCCACTGAGCCCTGCCCAACGCGTTCCTAGGCTAAATGTTTGCGAACGGTGGGTTTACTCAACTGCATGATTGGCGGATCTTTGTTCCAGATTTAACACCATTCCAATTCAAGATGATCCACATTTAGCTTATTTTATCATAGGTGTTAGGAAAAATCATGCTTCGAACCCATAACTTCAGCATGAAAACTTGTTTGGATGGCAAGTCTCAATGTAACCTCACATTGATTCTAAATATGTCGTAAATAAAAGACGTATATATACATTATATATATATATATTTATTAAATACAATCTTTTCCAACGTTGGTCTTTAATAGTCTCAATGTCAGCGCCAGCCCTGCTTCAGGTCCAACAACGTGGTTTCCTGGCATGTCAAGAAATCATTCAAGGGCTGCTGGAGGCGGTGACAGACGTTGCGTCACCCAAACCGATCATTGTGGTGGACTTGCTGCCGTCAAGGCCCCTGGGACCATTTTGTCATCAGCAGCTGTTCGTCAGTGATGCGTTAGACAGGCACCTGATGATATCACAGACGTGACGGTCACATGATCAAACCCAAAGTGCACTACCCATCAAGCCCAATCCAAAACTTGTGTAGGTTCAACGAGTGGGGCCGGGCAGTCCTTGAGTTTCAGAAGCAGCAACTCCGAACATCGCAAGGGCACCAATACCATTTTCACACTTACTATGGCCGACATGAAGCTGACGAATGCCAGTCCTTGAAGAGTACTGTCGCCGGAGTTCTCATGTCGGCTTTGGCCTCAAACAGCCATAGAGGTTGTCACTGCATTTTACGCATCAGCTACTGAACTAGTTCTTGCTGTAACGTTGGACTAGTGGGGGGTTCTGCCTGAGGATTGGTGGGATAGCTGCGCAGAGGCTGGCC